TCCTCCACAACTAGACTGAAGAACAAAAGGACAGCAACTTGTCTGTTCCCCTCCCCCAATTCCCCAATTTAAAAAAAAATCTAAAAAACAAAAAAAATAATATAAGGAGATACAAAAACATGTTTCTATTTTCTGTTACATACTACACTGACCATTACACTTCATAAATTAATTCAGAAATCACAACCAGCATTTTAAAATGAAATAAAAGATAAAATTTAATTTGTGAAAATTCTACTTGTTTTATAATATATACAAATATACAAGGTTGCAAAGTAAAATACATAGAGAGACTCTACCTTGAAAATAACCATTTTCAAGGGCTGAAGATCTAGGTAAAGTTAATTATAGTATGACAACTCAAATTATGTAGCCATTAAAAGGAATAAAAATAAAGACTATATAGCAATATGGAAAATGATTTAAAAATAATATGAAGAGAAAATAAGCTGAATACAAAATTATAGTCACATGTTGATTATAGCAATGCAAAAATCATACACATGTAGAGAAAGATCAAAACTGAACATAGATAAAGAAAACATTTGGTTCGTTGGAATTTTGAGACAAGTAAGTGTACTGTTAAAGTGGTTACAGTGTTATTTGTGCAATACACACTTTTCTAATAAAGAAAAAACCCAGTAAACAGCACTACACTGGATCTTAGACCATTTGCCATTAATTTTATCATCCTGGGCCATCCCCCGCTCCTTCCTGGACCTCAGCTGCTTCACCTGCTAAATGAGGATGATGATTTAGAATCTAGACTCTCTATAAACTCCTGCTCAGTTTTTTACTTTGTACAATTCTGGCTGAATGTTTATTGGAAGGGACAGGGACAGAGGGGAGATGTTATATAGTTTTTTAGTTTTGACATCATATAGCAATCATGCTTCAATCTTTCCTTCCTCTTCAAACATCCCAACACACCTGTTAAAACACAAACCAGGAGAAACTAGATTATGTACACAAACACCCTCTTCCTGCCTTCCTTCCCTAATTAAGGTGACATAATACAGAGATCTATTTCTCATCAAAATATTACTTAATCGCGTAGTATATGTACTTTACCACTCATCTGGACTGTGACTTAGATCGGGGTGAGAATGGAGGTAACAACGACTACTAGCATTTTAAGCTCTTGAGCTGTGTGGACTACGTATTTTTCCCACAACACTACCAATTAACCACCATCACGTAACTAATTTACTAAAATTCAGCGAATGCCAAATACAATAGCCAATTCTATCCTGTAGAATTAAAAAAAGGCAGGGGGGACACATCACTTACTAAGTTACTTCCCAAATAAGGAGTCAGCTTTGTGTCATTTCAGGTCCAGGAGTTTGAAAATATAACATTTTTAGGAATATGTTCCCCATGTCAAAATCAGCTACAGAAAATGTAGGAATTTTGGTAGTATTCTAAAGCTGGAACTAAAAATGTATCAATATGGATTTTTTTGAAGCTTTTGGATATAAAATAAACTGCAGAAGTATGAAATTAATTTATATAGAAACGACATTACATAACTAAATTATTTCAGATATCCCAAAACAAAGAATGATGTTTAAATTAATTAGCTATCTTACCTAAAGCATTTTAAAGAGGAAGACGAGGCAGAAGTCATTACTTCTTCTGGCGAAGGTGGAACAAAATCTATATCGTAATCGTCTTCATCAAGCTCAGCACATGGAAAATCCTCAACTGAATGTAATTCAGTTTCTTTCAAGTTTTTCTCCTTTTTACTATTATCTAAAGTAAATAATTGATAAACATAGGCTATTTTAATAATTAACAAGATAGAAAGAACAGGGTATGAGCACTGAAGAGTGCTTCAGGCAAGTCATAAACAATGACACCACTCTGTGACCACACTCCTTTCACACATTAATGTTGACTTGTTTTTTTCATAAACGATTATTGCGTCAACTGGAATAAGTCCAATGAATGCTGGACTGAGGCTGAAGATTTGCTTCAGGATTTTCATGGTTGTTTCCAGTTATATTGTGAAGCCCATACTTAGTATCAGCAATTTTGTTCTATTTTTTACTCATATTTAAATAAGGGCAAAATGCAACAAATAAATTCGTTCATTGTACAAACACTGTTGTTTGTACAGATAAACTATTTCTACTTTACCACAAAGGCTTCCTAGTGATTGACGTCTACTAGACTCAGTGTTTCTCTCCTTTCTATGAGGGAAAACACAATGACAAATTGTTGCTCTCTAGTTGAACTTCTACCGAATTTTCTCTTTATAAATAGTAACGCATTTGATTAAACTATACTTTTGGTTATTATCAATCACTTTTCAGTCCTCTCTCACCCTAAAATAACCTTAATGGGATTCAGGTGTTTAAAATTTTAGTCTCATATTTACAACTATTTCTTAAGGTAGGTACTTCCACGTATGGCTAATCTCAAGCTATAAATAACTATGAGACTTAAACAGAAAATAATTTGAATGTGATTTCTGGGGCTGGCCGAGTGGCTCAGTTGGTTAAGAGCTCGCTCAAGAGTTTGAGCTCTAAGCAACAGCGGTTCGAGTCCAGCCCAAGCTGAGCAGCCGCTGAGCTGCCAACAGGTAGCAGGATGGCTCAGCTAAAAAAAACAAAAAAAAGGTTTGTTGTTGTTGAATGTGATTTCTAATATTCTAACAGCATGATTAGATCATGTTCTACAACAATACTAAATGGCAGCAAGCCATAAAGGGATTATGATAAAGAGGCTTGGTTTAATTTCACTTTCCAATTCTACCACTAACCAGCCAGTAGGCTATTAATAAGCCATTTCCATCTCTATGGATCTTATTTTCTCCATATGTAAAATCAAAGAGCTGCCCTTGGTGTTAATACAAAAATTATATTAGCAGAATAAAATCTTTCATCAGTTTATGTTCTGCCTCAAGAATGTGGCCAAGGGCCGGCTGAGTGGCTCAGTTGGTTAGGAGCTGGCTCAAGAGTTTGAGCTCTGAAGAAGCCCCACCAGAACCGAGGTATGCTGCCGCTGTTCCGCTGCCACCATGATCATCCCCTTTCGCTGCTTTACCTGCGCCAAGATTGTCGGCAACAAGTGGGAGGCCTACCTGGGGCTGCTGCAGGCCGAGTACACCGAGGGGGGCGCCCTCAATGCGCTGGGTCTGAAGCGCTACTGCTGCCGCCGCATGCTGCTAGTCCATGTGGACCTGATTGAGAAGCTGGCTCAACTATGCGCCCCTGGAGAAGTAAGCGAGCACTGGCCATCTGTCCTGCCGAGAGCCCCTCCCACTGAGGAGTGGGTAGCCGGGAGCAGTGCCTGCCCACAGCTGTGTGGGCATTGGTCTCCTGCTCTGGAAGGAACCGTCCAGTAAAGGTCTTTGCAGAAAGAGTTTGAGCCCTGAGCAACAGCAGTTCAATGCCCAGCCCGAGCTGAGTTGCGGCTGAGCTGCCCAAAGGTGGCAGGATGGCTCAGCTAAAACAAAAACAAAAACAAAAAATGTGGCCAACAGATTGTTCAATAAGTACCTCTATAGATCCTAAGGACAAAAAGCTATATCATATTTGCCACTGTTCCCAATCCCTACCTTTGAATGAATACAATCAACATATTGAAATGAAGATAAATAATTTTTTACCTCTTTCCTCTTCCAAATGAGTTTTTAAAGAGTGACTATCCTGAGTATCTTCATTTATAAGCTCTCTGGAATTGGAGTCATCATCAATGCAAATCACATCACTACTTAACCATTTGAAGTCAGCCTTCTGTTCCTTAGTCAAATATACTTGCTTGCCTTCAGAGGAAGGAGTCAAATCAGTCTTTACTGTATTTGCTTTATGAAGCTGTGCTTTAAAAAAGTTTCTCTTAGACTTTTCTGATTTTTGAGCAGTGCTTACTTTTACGAAGTGATTTTTGAGTGGTGTAACAAATGCTTTTGAATTTCTGGAAGTATCGAAGTCATCCATGTCATCTCTATCATTGATGGTAATAAAAGAATCTGATGAAGAACTAAATTCTAATTTCTTGAAAGTAGAATCACAGGTTTCCTTTATAAGTGGTGTGCTCTGGGTAGTACGTAATACTTCCTGTGGAACCTGCACCAAATCTGGCAATAATGGTTTTGAACCAACTCTCTTGGTTTGCTGTCTGGCTGGAGCATTTTTAAAGCGATTGATGCTTGTCTGCTGATTTGTGGTTTGGGATAAAGTTTCACTGAAGGAAAAAGCCTCAGTAACATTAACATCTTTATCACTTAACACAGGTGTTTTTGCTACTGACACGCTAGTCACAGATACATCATTGGCTGAAGATATTTTCTTTTTAAAAGTGAAACCTCTGAAAAATAATTGAAAACCTGAATTAGATCAATTTTAACAAACCCACCAACTCTACAAAACAAGACTTTTTACTAATTTATATAACTCACCTTCACTGCATCATAAACAAGCAAAGACTCTATCTCCCTCTCTTGACTTTAAAATTTATAATTTTAATTATACTTTATGTGCTCTGCTCCTTCCTATGCAGGGGCTAATTGTTCAGTTTTGAGAGTATCCAGGCCATTCCCACTACTTTATTTCTCAGATTGGTAGTCTTTAAATTTAATTAATAGCATCTCCAAAGGGAGAGGACATCATAAGCAAAAAAGAGAAGAAACTCAAATGTGGCTACTTTTTGCTACTGTGACAAAAGTTTTATGGGGAAAAGAGTTAATTGCTAGCTATGCTGAGATCTGAAGGACAAGTAAAGGAGTTCTGTACGTATCTAGACTGAGTGACACTGAAGGTCAATGGATTTAAAAATCAAGCACCCAGAACACTGTCTAGAATCTGGTAAGGACACAATAAAGCATACAAATTATCATTAGATATTATGAGTTTGGAGTATAGCTTGGAGGAAAGAACAAAACTGGAGAGCTATAGTTTTCCTTATAAACTATTTTTGTAAAGGACATAAAATTACATTAAAATATTAAAAATACCTATTTCCCCAAATTTGCAAGAAGGTTCATCATTAATTCATTCAACAAACATCTGCACAGGATGATGTGCCAGGAACTGTGCAAAAGCACTTAACAATTTATTACCTGGTGCTGCTAACATATGCTCTACCATTAATTTGCAAACTGGGAAAATCATTGACATCTCAGCTTCATTTCCTCATCTAACAATGAACGGGTTGGAAGGGCAGATATCTACCTCATCTGTATAATACTGTGTGTTAGTGCCTGTATGACAACAAACCAACCAAAATACTTACGAAGATTTCGGTTTTGAAAGACTTAATTTATTATTAACTTTTCTGGCTGAATGACGCTCCAGTTGCTCCTGCAGATTATTTTGAGGAACAGCAGCCATGATCCTACAAAGTGAGGAAAAAAACTATTAGTGGAGTTATGTACTTTGCATTAATCACAATGTTTCTTTTGGGGGGGTAGGGAGGGACACTGTTCCAACTGTACTCAAAGTAATGAGGGTTTTTTTTGTTGTTTGTTTTTTGGGGGTCACTAAATTGTTTTGACATTTACAACTGGTGACATTTGAAATATATAATCTTTAACTGAAGGCTCACTTGAATAGCAAAAATGACCTGGTTTTCCCCCAGTGCTAAAATAAGCACAAAAGGCATTAGGGAAGGGATTATTAGCAAAGGGCTTGCAGACAAATGGGATCTGGCCTGGGCCTGAAGAATAAATAGAAACTGGACAGGGAGTGAAGTGGGAAAAAATGATCAAAGCATACTGAAAACCCAAAGTCAAATGAATAAGTGAATTCTCTACCCAAGGGGAAAATCGGGAAAAGAAAGACCACCACCAATGAGAGCAATTGTTTACCAGCAAGATACGGTGCTTCAGAATGATCTAGTTTCCACCTGAAAGAATACTTTTACCAAGCATATTTACCCCTGTGTAACAAACTGTGCTATTGGTGAGGAATTGCCTTGATAATGTACAGCTCAAGCTACCTTAAAGTTACTGGGGTAAAGGAGGATGAAAGAGCCAAAAATCTATGGATAATAGAACAGTCTCATATTAGCTGATAGTTACAACCCCTTTCCCATTCTATCTTTAACAGAGATCTACCTTTATTTTATAACATATCTTAAGAGGAAGGGTTAACAACATTAGGTATTTGTAAAAATATGACGCTTTACATAAATCTATTCCACTCACTAATTATTAAAATCACCTATGCTTATTAACTCTTTAGATAATAGTGAAAAGAAGAGAAACTTGGAAGAATCTGAATTATATTTAATTGAGAAAGCTCCATGTGCTGAGCTTGATGATGATTACAATACAGATTTTATTTTGTTCCACCTTCTCCAGAAGAAGGAATGATTTCTGTCTCTTCTTCCTCTTTAAAATGCTTTAGGTAAAATAGCTAATTAATAAACACTGAATGATTCACATTAACATGGTAATTATATCTTAATAACATTCTTACCAAAATTAACATTAAAAAGTAGACAGGGGCCGGCCGAGTGGCGCGATGGTTAAAAACTGGCTTGGGATGCCAGAGGGCCCAGGTTCGGATCCCACATATGAGGGCCCAGTGACGCTGCCCTCCACAGCTAAGATGCTGAACAACAGCTCAACCTGGAGCTGGGCTGTCGGGAGTCGCTGGAGATGGCGTAGGCTGCAGCCCCTGCTGCAGTGGGTTGCCATGGGCTACCGTGTGTAGCCAGCAGCCAGCGTGAGCGGCCAGCAGCCGCAGTGAGCGG